GCCCGCAGAGACCCCGGGACCAGGAGCCCCCCCCGGAGCTCCCCCAGACACCCCCCCCGGGCAGAGACCCCCGCAGGGACCAGGAGCCCCCCCCCGGAGCTTCCCCCAGGCCCCCCCAGGCCGAGACTCTGGGAGCCCCCCACCGGCTCTGAGTGGGGACCCCCTGGCGCTCCCCAAGAGGCGGCTGCACTGACGCTGGTCCGGGGTGGGGGCGGGGCGGGGGGAGACACCAGCAGCCCAGCACAGGGACCCCGTCCGCCCCCCCCCGCTCCCTGTCTGCACCCCCTATCCATGGGGGGGGGGGGGGCTCTGCGGCACAGCCGGGCTGGGCATGGACTGACACGCTCCCCTCTGCCCCACAGCTGTTGGCTCAGACCCCAAGAAACACGAGGCGGGGAAGAAAGAGGGGCACCCCAAACACAAGGTGAGGAGGGGCTGGGGCAGGATCTGGGGACCCCGGGTGGGGGCAGGGCAGGAATCGGGCCTGACCCCCACCTCTGGTAAGAGGCAGAGACTGGACCCCCGGATGCCCCCTCTCCTGTCCACACTGGAGTGGGGGTGTCTGCGGTTCTCTGGGTGGGGGAGGGGGCACCTGCTCTGGGCACCCCCGTGACGTGCTGCCCTGTGCTGGGACCCCCCCTCTGCGATGCTGGGGGGCCTCTGGGCCTGGGGGGCCCCTGGACAAGGCTGAGCCTCTCCTCTCTCTCAGGACGGGCACAGCTCCTCTTCGGACTCCAGCAGCAGCTCCAGTGAGAGCGACGGGGAGCACCATGGCAAGGTAGGGGGGTGAGGGGCCAGGACCCCCCTGGGGAAGGGCTGAGATCAGCACCCCCCTGAGCAGCTCTGCCAGCCCAGCCGCCTCGTCCCCCTCCCGCAGGGACTGCTGCCCCCATTGTGGGGTGGAGACTGGGAGCCAGGACTCCTGGGTTCCCTTCCTAGCTCTGCCCCAGCCCCATGCAGTGGGAATAAGGAGAGCACCCCAGGCCAGGAGAAGGGGAGGGGTCTGTTCCCCACCCAGGTGCCGAGCCCCGCAGCAGACAGCCCCACACCGTCTTCTTGCTGGGAGGGTACATGGCCAGCAGCCCCTGCATGGGAGCCTGGTTCCTGGCTCCCCTGTCCCTGTTTGCCCAGGTCTGGCTGCCAAGGGCCATTCCAGCCCCACAGGGCACCTGCCAGCTCCATTGCCCACACCCTGATAACTGCAGGGCTGTTTGCACCTGTCGGCCCAGCCCGGCGCCAGAAGGCAGCAGTGCGGGGCCAGAAGGCAGCAGGGTGGGGCCCACAGCCCCCAGGCAGGGCGGGGCCTGGCTGCAGAGAGCAGTTGGCGCTAGCGGGCAAACACAGTCCTGGACCCGGCCCTAATCCACCGGGGCACAGAGGTGGATCACGGCAGCAGAGCCCAGTGGAGGTCAGAGACCCCGTGGGGCCAGGTGCTGCCCTAGTGTGAGCTCAGGGAGGAGGGAAACCAAGGCAGGCCAGGGACAGAGCTGGGCTCTCAGACAGCCCAGACCCTTTCCCCCGCCAACCCCCTGCGCTCTCCCTCCAGCCCCACTGCCCAGGCCACGAGCACAAGAAGAAGAAGGAGAAGAAGCTGAATAAGGAGAAGAAGCCGAAGGAGAAGAAGGAGAAGTCCAAGGAGAAGAAGAAGAGCCACTGATGCCAGCGCTAGGACTGGCCGCGTCTCGCCCAGCCTGCACAGGTGCCTCTGGGCAGAGACCCGGCCACAGAGCAGGGCCGCGAGGCGACCCAGCCTGGCACCCACGGCCGTTCGCTGTTATCTCTGGAGCCTGCCCTTTGGAGCCTTAATTGGAAATAAACAAGCTCAGACGCACCCTTGCCCTGCCGAGGCTGTGGGATTATTAGCCTGCGCTAATGAGCGGGAGCCTCGGGCAGGCCCAGCCCAGGCAGCTTCCTCCAGGTGCAGCCTGACCCACAGAACAGGTTCTGAAGGGCCCCACCTGCGGGGAAGGGAACAGCAGCTTGGCAGGTGGCCCTGGGGAGGGGAGCGGAGCGGCCCCCACTGCAGAAAGGGGGGCGGCTCCAGGCGTGCCAAGCCAGCTCAGGGCAGGAGCAGCAGGGGCCAGAGGGTGGAGCTGGGGAGCGGCCGTAGGCCCAGCCAGCTCCTGTGTGGACAGCAAATGTAGGGTTACCATTCGTCCGGATTTTCCCGGACATGTCCGGCTTTTTGGGCCTCAAATCCCCATCCGGGGGGGAAATCCCAAAAAGCCAAACATGTCCGGGAAAATAGGGACGTGCTGGGCCGGGCCCGGCTGTGCAGGGCTGGGGGTGCTGGGCCGGGCGTGCTCAGCCGGGGGCTGGCACCCCAGGACCCGAGCCGAGCCAGGCTGGAGCCGCTCGGTTGGGGGGCCAGACTGGGCCACACCTCCTCCCCCCACCCCATCCCAGCTTACCTGCTGCCTGCTTCAGGCTTCCTGCGAATCAAATGTTCGGGGGAAGCAGGGGAGGGGGCGGAGTTGGGGCGGGGGCATGGGCGGGGCCCCGTGGAGTGTCCTCTTTTTGGACACTCAAAGTATGGTAACCCTAAGCAAATGGGCGCTGGGGCCCTCGGGGATGCTCTGCGGGGGGGGGTCCCCGCTGCTGGCTACGAGTGCCCCCCCATGCACTGAGCAAGGCCCCAGTGAAGCCAGCACACAGAGGCACCATCGCTGCTGTTTATTGGCTTGTTGTGGATACAGACGTTCTGGGGGGGTGGCTCAGGCCGGATGCAGTCACCGCGGGCCCCGGCGAGGCAGGCCTGCCAGGGCCTGCCCCCCAGCACCAGAGTAATACTGAGAAACCCACAGGCAGCAGCGCACATGCATTACCATGCACCGGGGGGCTAGCAAAGCTGGGGGAGACCAGGGGCCTGCTCAGGCATTACCTGGAGCTGCAGGAAGCCAGCCCTGAAGGCCAGCGGCAGGGGGCCCTGCGAAGCACCAGCCCGAAGGCAGCGTTCAGGGCAAGACTGGCTGCAGCTGCCTCCCCCCAGCACCAACAGAAACCAAAGAGAAGCTGCTGGTTCCAAGTGGCCAGCCAGCCATGCACGGAGCAGCCCCGAGCGCTGGGCCGGCACTGCCCAGCCTGGAGATGGGGGCGGCTCCAGGCAAGAACGTAGGCAAAACCGGCACCACCACAACAGCTTTGTGCAGAAACAGCAGGGGCAGGGCTGGCCCGTACAGAGCTCCGGGCAGCTGCCAGCAGGCGGGTTCTTCACGGCCCGGCTGGAAGCGAGCTGCCCACGGAGGAGGCACTGCAGGATAAGGGACCCCCCCACCCCCTAGACACTGCCCAGCCGAGGGTCCCACCCCTCCACAGACACTGCCAGGACAGAGCCTGGGGTCTCCCACGCTGATCCCAAATATGCCAAACTCCAGCTGCCTCCCCTGTTGACAGGGGGAGAGGACACCCTCCCTTCCACACCTCAGGTTGGGGTTAGAGGCCCTTAAACAAAACCCTGCAGTGTCTCTTTACCAAAGGGCTAAGCCCATCAGGGGGGGGACACACCCCATATCCTGGCCAGGAGCCCCCCACACAGACCCCCCCACACCCACCCCGCTAGCCCTAACACAAGGACGTCACCGCAGCCCAAGCTGGCGCGGACACGGCCTTGTTTGATGCCCGTGGGCCTGGCTGCGGACAGGCCCCAGGCAGGGCGCACGGCTGGGCCTGGGGCTCGGAGGCCGTGGGGCAGGGTCCCGGGCAGCTGGAGAGGATGCAGCAGGGAGGCCCATCACCTGACGAGGTGGAAGGTCAGCCAGTACATGAAGAGCGGCTGCAGGGCGGCGATGGCCATGGTGAGGTACATGCGCAGCTGGTTCTTGGCCCCCCGCACCAGCACACCCTCGGCAGCCGCCTCCGACAGGATCTTCAGCCGCAGCGTCCTGATCTGGGGGGGAGAGGGGAGAGTGCTGGGCCAGGGCCTGGCGGGAGCAGCCCTGGGCCACTAGCCACATGCTGCCACCTCTTCCCCACCCAGCAGTCTGAGCCCAACGTACTGGGCACCGCTAGCCCATTGGTCTCCAGGACAAGGGCCTGGCACGGGCCCCTCTCCTCGGCTCCTGCATCCGGATAGGAAGCACAGGGGAGACGCTGGTACCATGGGGCCCGGCACCAGACAGTGCAGCCCTGAGGGGAGAACAAGCCAATCCAGTGGCCAGCCCCAGAGCTAGACCCCCACCCTCCCTCCCAATGACTGATCCAGGCCACGGCCCTGCCAAGCCGCGGCCGGCCCAGGCCCTGCCAAGCCGCGGCCGGCCCTTACCATGAAGACGAAGATGGAGAGGCAGCACCAGCTCAGCAGTAGGTAGTAGCCGGTCTTGCCGAAGAGCAGGCCGGACACGATGCCGACAATCATCCTGCCGCAGGAGAGGTATGAAGTGAGCGGGTCTGGGGTGCCCCCGAGCCCTGCGGGCAGCAGAACCATGCCACCAGCACCCCCCTCCCATGCCAGGGCCCTTGGGCAGCACCCCACTGTGGCGTGGTCACTGGGACACGTTCCCAAACGCATCCCCCGGCGCCAATCTCGTTTGACAGGGGCCTGGACCCACACCCGAGTCGCGCCCCTTTTAACTCTGCACACAGCACGTCTGTGTCGGCGCCAGACTGCTGCTCCGGCCAGTCTCCCAGGAGATCCCAGCCTCTCTGCCGCTCAGAGCCTGGGACACGCTCCCCCAGCGGGCGCAGGACTGGCCTCCTCCCCCCATTCGAGTGCGGTGGTTGCAGCTCCAGGCCGGGGAGGGGCAGCACTCACCCGACGTACTTGTACCCCGAGAAGGCGACGAGGTCGATGGTGGTGAGGTCCGTGTTCACAGTCACCAGGTAGAGGCTCAGCAGGATGGCCAGCACCTCCACGATCAGCCAGGCCAGGGCCGAGCTGGCCTGCAAGCCCAGGAGGTCGGGAGAAAACCTGCATTTGCACAGGGGTCAGGAGGGTCAAAGGGCACCAGCTGGGACTGGGAGGGTCAAAGGGCACCAGCCTGCAGACGGGCGAGTACCTGGCAGCCTCCTTGGAATCATCATAGACTATCAGGGTTGGAAGGGACCTCAGGAGGTTCTAGTCCAACCCCCTGCTCAAAGCAGGACCAATCCCCAGACACATTTTGTTGTTGTTTTTTTACCCCAGTTCCCTAAATGCCCCCTCAAGGATTGAATTCACAACCCTGGGTTTAGCAGGCCAATGCTCAAACCACTGAGCTATCCCTCCCCCCTTTGCCATCTGCTGGCAGCAGGACCTACAACCCTTCCCATGCAGCCAGCTCCCAGCCCCAGGGGAGCGCCGGGCACCAGCAGCAGGGTCAGGCTGACCCCACGCCCTCCCTCTGGGCACGGAGAGACGCAGAAAGCACCTGTACTGCTGGCTAGAGGCCACCACAGAACTGTCTCCTCCAGGAACAGGAGCATGGCGTTCCCAACGGAGACTCCTGGGAAGGTGGGGCCGGTTCAGGCTGGGGTCCCCCCACTCCCAGTAACATCCCCCACCTGGAGGGCATTCCTGGAAAGGATGCGGGCGCTTGGCAGGCGCCAGTTTTACCCTGGTCACGCTTTCGTTCACATGGATCAGCCTGACCTTTGGGGTGTCGCCACAAGCTCTGCCGTGTCCCGGCCGCAGCAGGAGCAGAGTGGGGGGAAGAGCTTGTTTGTGAATGACACAAACCCACCCCCCAGCACGAGGCTGCTGCACCCCAGCGCTCGGCGAGAACCCCACGCAGACGGGGCAGAGCCAAGTCCTCGGGAGAGCACAGACCCAAGGCTGCCGCTGTACCTGGGGAGCAACGTCCTCACCTGTTCTGGGTCCCCAGTGCTAAGCCAGCCACCAGGATGTACGTGATGAAAGCCATGACTGCGAAGGAAAGAGACACAGGCTGGCAAGTCCCAGACTCACTGCTCCCCTGCAGAGGGGACCGGCCCGGCCCAGCCCAGCCCAGCCCACGGGATAGGGAATGCAAAGATCTCCCTGAAAAGGCACATGCAAGATGCCAACCTGGCTACTAGCAGAGCCGAGAGGGCTGCCAATGCCCACAGGAAACTCAGAGGGGGGAGGAGTAATTCTGCTGCCGTCACTCCCGGAGAGAGCCCGCACAAGAAGTTAGCAGCCGAGTGGCAGCAGAATAATTCCTCCACCGTAGCCAGGCCGCTCGGCTTCCTCCTGTAGGCAAGGCCTCGGAAACCAGGGAAGGTTACAGGGAGGAAACCGATCCATGCGCCTGCTCGGTTTGTGATCGGTCTCTTTAGATCCACGGTGACCTGCACGACATTCAGTCCCCCCATGCAAACACCCCTAAAGTCAGGCCAGAACACCCAGCGCTGCAGTCTGCGGGACTCAGCCTACAAGCCCGTCCGGAAGGACAAGGCCCCGCCCTCTGCACGGGGTCAAGTCAGACCACACTCTGCTGCCCAGCGAGGTACCTGGGATGTAGAGATCAGGGGCGTTGATGTCAAACCGGGGTGCTACGGGCGTGTCCTGCTGGTATCGCACCTGCCAGTCCTGCCAAGAGACACTCCTGTGAGGGGAACCCCAGACACCCAGTGCTGCAGAGCCAGGAGGGGTGAGCTGGCAAGGGAGGGCAATCTCTGCATAGTGCCCATCCTCCCGCACCAGCCTCACGCAACGAGCCAGCCAGGGAGCTGGTTTAGCATTAAATCCAGGCCACCCAGCGAGCGGCCCTCGGTTCAGTGCTCGGCAACCAGCAGCCAGCGCCCCGCACTGGAGAGTCACTTATGCAGCGTGCAGGTCTGCGGGTGCTGCATCGCCCTGAGCCTGAGCCCTGCGGCAGCACGGCTGTACCGCCAGCGCCCCCCTCCCAAGGGGGAAACACTACAGCAGAGTGGTTGTTAGG